CCCCCCCCCCCCCCCCCCCCCCCCCCCCGACAGGAATCTTTAGCAATTAAGTAAGAATCCTTTTTATGAGCGAGTCGCGATGTAACGTTACCCACATGGAAACTCTGTCTTCCTGCCTGAATTCATGCCCACATATTTATACTAGCACAAGTGTTAATACGAGAGGACCTCCTGCAGCCAGAAGAAGTCTGGAAGCCTTTCTGAAGGGCCTGGATCCACAATCCCACATGAACAACTAACCAGGTCAGCCAGCAGCCATTTGTATTTATAGAGGGCAGAAATGTGAGCTTGCTCAGCACTCTTTATTTAGAGCAATAGTTAAAAGTGAAATCAAAGTTTCTCTACTTTGAAACTGTTTCTGAACTCGCAGTTCATTTTAATATTTGGGGAATATTTCCTGCTGCATGCTTTCTCAAAAAATGTCAATAATGTAAGAAACGCTGTCGATGGCGAGGTGAAGGACTCCTGGAACTTTGCTTTTACGTTCGGATAATCGTGAAACGTCTTGTGAAGATGAAATGTGTGTCTGAAGATGTCTTTGTTTCTCTTTATTGTTATTTTGCTCTTCAGGGACCAAACGTCCCTTTAAAGCACTTAAATCATTGTTAATCTATCTAAACATACCAAAGGGTCAAGTCAGGCAGCTTAAATATGAAGCGAACAGCACACGTGTTTGAAGAGGTTTTTTTTGTGTGTGTATATGTCGAACTATTTAAAGTCGACAGCGTTAAAGCTCCTCGTTAGCTCGCCGGCAGCTGTGGAGACGGAGGATCAAACCAGCACGGGTGAGACGGGTGAGACGGGACTCACCTCTCGCCAACTTTTAAAGGACCACAAAATCTAATTAGTGATGAAACGTTGGTGTTTGTGACGTAATCGCGTCCTGCAGGAGGTTGATTCGGTTAATAAACATCATTTGAGTTAAATCCACTCATTCCTGAAAGCATTAGAAACATTAAAGATTGTGATGCAGATTAATAGTAACCATGCAGGTTAATAGTAACCATGCAGGTTAATAGTAACCATGCAGGTTAATAGTAACCATGCAAAATTGGTGTCTTGCTCGTGGATCTTTTTCAAAAATGCTTTAACGTTTTTTTTCGGCTCAAGTTTCACCAAAGGAGCTTTTGCTCCGCATTTAGATTTCAATAAAAATTTTATTTGTAGAGCCCAATTTCACAAATCATAAATGAGCCTTTAGAGTGCTTTACCATCTGTTCTGCATCTTTGGACCCTCGTATCGGAGAAGGAAAAGCTCCCCCAAAAACCCTTTAACAGAGGGGGGGAGAAACCTCAGGGAGAGAAACGGAGGATTTATCTGTTCTCGTGCTAAAACTGTCAAATCTTCATTTCTTTTCTAGTTTGAAAAGAACCTCAAGACTCTAGAAACGACTCCTAGTTCATGTTTGACCATTTAAAATGATGTAACAGAAAATCAACAGATTTTCCCTTAAATTTCTGCTTTAACTTGTGAATTGGAAGCGAGCTGGAGCCTGAGAAGAACAACTCTTTTATTTGGGACAAAAGGGGAGAAGTGAAGCGATTTAAGGGATCCTTTGTGTTTAGACGGATAAAAGATGATTTTACAAGCAACTCTTTTATTCGCTCTTCATCACTGAAGCACTTCCAAAGACCCACAGAAGTGACTCCAGGACTTGATCTAGTTGGAGGTCTTGGACGGGCGGTTTCATTGCCCTTTTCCTCCTTGTTTCAGCGCCCCCCCCCCCCCCCCCCCCCCCCCCCCCCCC